GCTCCGACCGGCTCTGCGCGCTGCCCGGCGCCCCCGCCCGGCGTCCTGCTGGGAGGGCGCTCCGGACGGACCGTGACGCTCCGCTGGCCCAGCGGGCACCCCTGTGCTCACGTCACCGCCACGAGATACCGCGAGATGTGCGCTCGGACCGCGTTCACAGGGGACGCCCGCCCCCTTCAGGTCTCGCGACACACGAGACCCCGGGAGGGGCGACGCGAGAGGCACACCTACCGGTAGTCGGGCGGGCTCAGCCTGACGGCGGCGGCGAGGGCGGTGTTTCCGGGCACGATGCCGTCCGCCTTCTCAGTCACCTCCTTCCCCGACAGCATTCCCGCCGTCATCACGGTAACTTGGCCAGTTCGGTGCCGGCGGTTGGAGCTGCCCGAACCTCCCAACGTCCGCCATGGCGTTGGGGGCGGGGCCTGAGCGTGTGGGGGACGGTGTTGGTGGAGCGTCCTGGGCGGGGCCTGAACAGTGAGGGCGGGGCCTGAACCGTGAGGGCGGGGCTTGTGGGCGGGGCGGGGCGGAGGGGCGCGGTGCTGCTCTCCCCCTCCCTGCCTCCCGGAAGTGTGGTGCCCGCCCTCCCGGTGTCCCTCGCTCTGGACCCTCGGACGCGAGTGGGTGGACATAGCTCGCGGCCAGCTTACCTGCCCGGCTGCATGGTCCTGCGGGCCCGGCGTGCGGGAGGGCGGCCGCACGAGGCCTGAAGGCTTCGGGCTCAGTCCCGGGGGCCTGGTCTGCAGCCGGATCGGGGCAGGGCGTGGATCCGAGCACAGGGGGGCATCTGGCCGCGGGGTGAGGACCTGCCCACCGTGAGGTTGCGCAGACCTGGGCTCGCAGCACTGTTTGCAGGCTGGGGCAGGGCAGAAGGAAAAGCAAGTCTTGCCATAGGGGTGGCTCGGATTTTCAAGACCTTAAGTCCTGGTTTAGGGGCTTGAAATAGGGGTCTTGAGGGGGAGTAACCCAGTGCATCTCCTGAACAAGCCACTGACTTCCTCCTCCTCCTGGGACAGTGACCCGTAGGGTCCACTCGTCTCACAGTGTGACAGCTCCACAAACCCCAGGGCCGGCCGGGGAGGCCACCCCTCTGTCCCCAGCATTAGACCCTGAATTCCTCTCTGGCCCCGGGGGCCATGGTAGCCATGGAGGGGTCCTGGTTCCCTCCTTCCCTTCCCGCTCCTCCCCCCTCTTCTGTGAGGCCCGGGGTCGGGGCCTCTCTGGACACCTGGCTCAGTAGCCCCAGAAGTAAGTGCTCAGGAGTGAGGGGTCACTGACTCCCCACTGACCCTGGAGACCTGAGGCCTGGCCCCCGAGGGAGTTGATGTTGACGAGTGTCCAACGGTGTGTCCACAGCAAATAGACTGGACGGAGCCCTGGCTCCTCGGCCTGGTCGTCTTCCACGCGCTCTGCCTGCTGCTCACCTGTGTGTCCTCCCGGCGATACGAACTGCAGGTCGGGCACTTCCTGTGCCTCGGTGAGTGCAATGGACAGAGCTGCGTGATGCGCCTTGCGTGTTCTCAGCATGTAGCGTGTTCCCGGGGCCCAGCCCTTCTGTCTGAGGCTCTACTCTTAGTCTCAGGGCTCGCCCTGATTTCTCTCTCGGGAATTCCAGAGGTAACGTAATTTTGTGGGTATTGTATTTGAAAGGAATCTACCGAGCACCTGCCTTACCAGGGAGGGGTCGGTACCAGTTGCACAAGACGAGTCAGGGTTAGTGAGATGCTGATTCATTACAAGCTTTTCCCCATGGGCGGAGCGCTGTGCTGCTCGCTCTGGCAGGGAGGGTGCGAGCTGGGAAGAACACGTGCACAAATCACCGTCCCTGCGGCTGGGGTTCCTGCTGCCCTGGCTTGGCCCCCAGTGCTGCTGCTCACAGGGCGGCCCCTGTTGGCGGAATCGCGAGGTCCAGGCTCCGCGGCTCTAGGCCCTGCTGCCCAGCGTCCCGTTGGCCTGACCTGTGCCTGGGGCTGAGGAAACGGGGCAAATAGCCAGCGCGGCGGCTCTTGGTTTTCGGGCAGACGACTGGATTCTCGGGGCTGCGTGTTGCTGAACAGCTCTGCATGGTTTCACTGCGACGTGGAGACTGACGTGTGTGGACCTGGTTTCCTTTCGGTTAAGGGTGTCCTGACGTTTTAGTTTTATAATTGTTCTCTGACGTTATATCTAAAGGAGAAATTCCATTTCTCCTCGAACTCTTGCTGTCTTGTGTTTACACTGAGCATGCATCTGTAGAGGATGTTTCCACAGACTCATGGTCAGCCACGCAGGTTCTAACGCGGTTTCTCTTGCAGTCACCCTGGTCTATTGTGCTGAGTACATCAATGAAGTGGCCGCCATGAACTGGAGGTGAGCCCGGTCAGGGCAGGTCGCTGTCCGGCTTCTGCTTTTTGGAACGAGCGCCTGCATGCAGCACAGCAGCCTCCGCTCGGACAGGTTTAGGCTGAGAAGCGCTCCTTACACATTCCTACTGGCAGTGCCAGCCGAAAACTGGGTGATGCTGGCCATGCCCTCGAGGGAGAGAGAGGTCAGGGGCTGTTGAAAGTGATGTTAGCGGCAGAGTAAGGAAGTGGCCTGATGGAGTTGGTGCGCGTGGGCCGAGTGGAGAGCACGCTGCAGCCTGTCCCCCCTCCCGGGACCACCATGTCCAGTGTCGGGGCCTCAGCTCCGCCTCCACCGGACGTCAGGGTCTGACCATGTAGGACCCGAGGGCCGGTGCCGTCATCGGGGGTGGGTTCTGCCTTCGTGACTCACACTAAGTAGAGAACGTCATTTAAAACATTGTTTCGCTAAGCCAAGTGATTTTTAAATTTTTCTTGAAACAGGTCATTTTCGAAATACCAGTATTTCGATTCGAGGGGGATGTTCATTTCACTGGTGTTTTCGGCGCCGTTGCTCCTCAACGCCATGATCATTGTGGTGCGTACTTACGACTGCTGCGTCCTCGCTTTCCCTCTGTACGTGTTCCCAGTGTGAACGCTCTCCAAACTCCTGCTTTCAGATCATGTGGGTCCGGAAGACGCTGACTGTGATGGCCGACCTCAAGGCCCTGCAGCAGAAGGTGAAGGAGAGGAGGACGAGGAGGAAGGAGGAGTAGTAGCCCAGCGGCCGCAGCGTTCCTGGAGCTGTCCCGTCGCCGTCTTGAGAACTAAGTGCTGGCGTGGCAGGCCCGTCCCAGCAGCCACCGTCGTTTGTAAAGATGGTTTTCGGGGCCTTGGAGATCAGCACAGTGGCCCTGCACAGACCGGACACTCGGGTCCTCACCAGCCCCTGGCATGAAGCTAAGTGTCCACACGTCTCAGCCCCTCTCCACACGCTCCGGGGGGATGGGGCCCCCGCGGTGCCATCAGCCGCTGAGCGCCTGGGTGATTGACAGCAGGTGCCCCTTCAGAACAGTGTCACTCACGTCACAAACTAGCAGATTTGAAATAAAAACCAACACAGCAGCCGCCCACGCTGTAGAACACACTCTCCCGTGTGTTCAAAACAAACACCCGTGGGCTGTGTCCTGGGCTGGAGCCTCCAGTTAAACTGAACAGATAGCACTGAGCTAAGCAGTTCCCAGCGTGTCTGTGATGGTCAGACTGATTCACAGGCCTGGGCACCGTCACGTGTCCCCGCTTTCCCGGGTCCCCTGCTTCGCTCCCAGCGCAGTGTGGCCCCAGGCGTGGGACGCTGAGTGGTCACTGGCGGGGCGGGCGTCCTCCGTCAGCCCCCAGATGACCTGACCCAAATGACAGCAGTGCCGAGGCAGAAACGGGGACCTTGATCGGGACCCTGGAAGCGAGGCCCTGACAGGACGCTACGTCTCAGCATCCTGGACCCTTCCCGCGAGGCCGGCCCTGGGAACACCAGCTCTGTCCCGGGACGAAGCAGAACAGGGCTCCTTCGCTGCTCCTTTACGGTTCGATTCCCGGTCAGGGCACAGGCCTAGTGGGGGGCGTGCAGGAGGCAGCCCATCAATGATTCCCCCCCCCCTCTCTGAAATCAATAAAGATATGTTTTAAAAAAGAACTCAGTTTATACTTGGCATGTAATATAAAGATTCACAATTCTGAAATGTATTTAGTAGACATTTGTGGAATTTTGTCTTTAATTTCTTTTAGCATAACATTCAGCTTCCATCCACACGGCACTTGCCTTTGTAGTGAAGCTGGTGATCGGCTGGAGTTGGGCTGGTGACCAGGGACCAGGGGAGATGTTCACTCCCTGGAATCTGCCCCGAGCGGAGGAACTAAGGTTCCTGGGACTTCGGGCCTTTCCTGGTCCCAGGGTTTCATCAGGGGCGAGCGGAGCCAGGGGAGAGAGTGGCTGCACAGGGTCCTGCCCTCTCCCCGCGATTCCCTGTCTACTGGCTCCGACAGGAAGCAGAACAGTAGGCAGGGGGTGGCGGGCCTGTGCTGCTTGTAACTGCGATCAGAGGAGGGTGTCCTGGCTGCATTGTCATCTGTTTTAGTAGAAACGGGAGTTAGAGGAAAGGGCCCCAGAGCACAGGCTGTTTCTCGCGGCGTCTGTTGTAGGAATCCCGTCCTCGGGCACAGAACCACCCACCTCAGGCTCAGAGGCCAGACTCCGGTTTTCACGACAGCGACCAGTGAGCTGAGTAATGGGCAAAGCTAAAGAAAAAAGCTGCTGTCATTTGGGATTTTCCCAAGATTCAACTTCGAAAAATAAATAAGGTGAAGGCTGTGGGGGTCTTTGTGTCCCAATATCCCCGCTAGGAAAACCCGTTTCCAGGAAATGGGCAGTAGGTGGCGCCCAAACTGCAGTTTCCAGCCACGTGCACGTCCGGCTGGTTTGGTTTTCACTCACTTCAGACCCTTCCTGGCAGCATCTCCACTGAGGAGGCCCTGCTGTCCGAGGGCCCCGCCTGCCACCCCGGCTGGTGGCCGCCCTCCAGGAAGAGGGCTGGGACCTGCCCTGTGACGGCCCCTCCTCCCCAAGGCTCTGCTGTTCAGGAGCCGCGTGGTCCCAGGGACGTTCCATTGGCATCTTACGCGTTTCATTATCATTTTGCATGAAATCCCTGTAAGGCCTGCAAAGCCCTTCCTTCCACTTGTAGAAAAGCCATCTCACAACCCAGAGCTGGGGAGACATGGCTGCAAGGCCGGAGGGGGTTCAGGTCCGCGGCCCCCCCCCCCCCCCCCCCG